GCCTCCGCCTTCCCAGTAGCCGGAATGACAGGCGTGCGCTACCACGCCCGGCTGATTTTTTGATTTATTGTAGAGATGAGGTCTCGCTGCCCAGGTGGTTCTCGAACCCGCGGGCTCAGGCCATCCACTCACCTTGACCTCCCAAAGGCGCGGGATGACAGGCTGAGCCACCGAGCCCGGCTATTTACGATTTTTTTGAGTTGGAGTCTTTTCCGTGGCCCAGGCTAGAGCGCGGTGGCCCAATCATGGCTCACCACAGCCTCGACATCGGGGGCTCGGGCAGTCCTCCCATCTCGGCCTCCTGAGCGGCCTGCATGCCACCACACCTGGATAATTTTTAACTCTTTTGGGTAGAGATGAGGTCTTGCTGTATTGCCCAGACTGGTCTCCAAACTCTTGTTGTTGAGCAGTCTTCTTGCCTCAGCCTCCCAAAGTGGTGGGATTACAGGTGAGAGCCACCGTGCCCAGCCTCAACCACTTTTATTTATTGTTCTTGCTTATTGATACTAGAGTAAGGCCGGGGATGGGGAAAGCTCTTTCTTGGATTCCAGACCGCAGACCTCACGGTCCAGATTGGAAAGTCAAGGGAAGCGGCTGCTGTCAGGCACAGACCCCGGCATCGTACGTCCCTGCGAGCCCATTTCACGTGTGGACAAACCCGGGTTCCGTAACTGTACTGAGAGGTGTGCTTGTGACTTCCGGAATGTTCTCACGTGCCAGGCACCGTGTCGAGGTCTCTGTGTGGAGTTCCCTGTTCTCGCAGCAGCCCTGAGGCAGGAAGCTTTTGTGAGCACTTTGCTTGAAACGTGACACACCTGCACAGACGGCAGTGCCACGTGTGACCCCTCAGGTACAGGGACAGCCAGGATGCCAGCCCCCAGGAGGTCCCCCAGCCCCCTCCCAGCACGAGGTGGGCTTGCAATTTATCCCAGTTCACAGCTGGTCAGACCCCAAAACCCGTGGGAGGCGGAACAGGCATCGGAGGACACACGGTCTAGGGCCCCGCCACATGTTGGGACGAGGCCCCGGGACTGTCTGGTACCCGGGCCTGATTTGCACCCATGGGTTGCATCCACCCCGAGAACGTGACTGGCGGGCAGTGCTGCGTGGAAGCAGCCCCGGGCCATGGCCATCCTGGGATGCGCAGAGCTCCGCCCCACCCGCTGTGTTTGCTGTGTGCTTTTCGGCAAGGGTCTGCAGTTCTCTGAGCCTTGGTTCCCTCTTCCCAGGGGTGGCACCCCTCTTGAAACTGGCCGTCGTAGGCTGGCGTCGAGCCTGGTGCTGAGTGTGCAGTGAGCTTCCGTCCAGTGTCCGTCACCGTGGCCTTTCTCCTTCTCCCTCTGCTTGCCCCGTGTACGCTCAGGCTTGCATTGGCTTCCCAGCGGGGAGAGGAAAGTCCCTCTGGCCATCTTAGCCATCTGGTGCTGGTGAAGGGGTGGGGCGGGGGCATCGGGGATCAGGGAGCTTCCCTGTGACGGCTGGAAGGTGAGGGCCGTGCAGGGAGGCGGACACAGCCATGTGCCTCTTGTCTGGGAAGCTTGAGTCCTGCCTCCCTGTCTGTGTGACCCCTTCTCAGCAGGGTAGTCTTTACCGTGATGCTGGGGGGACGTCCCTGTCCCCCTCAGGTCCCTGGTTCATTGTGCCAGAGGTGTTGGGCAGCTGTCGGGGTGACTGATGGGTGGCGTGTCCCCTCCAGGCCTGGAACCATGATTCCCTCCAAGAGGAACGTCTTCCTAGGGGTTTCTGGAACCTTCTGAAGACCGCTTCTCTTTGCTTTGTTCAAGAGAACAAAACCCCCGGAGGCGGAGGCCAGAACTCCCACGGGTATGAGCTCTCGGCCACAAAGCAGACATTGTTCCCGCGTGAAGTCCCCTGTGGGTTTGGCTCCTGTGTGTAGCCGGGGACATGAGACGGTTCCTGGAACCCTGCCCGGAGCGGCGGGGCAGGAGCTGCTTTCGAGCGTGTCCCTTGGGGCCCTGGGCCTGCCTGCTGGGACCGTGCTGGGGATGCTTCTGGGGTGTCCCTTTCGCGCCCGCACTGGGGCCGCCCCCCCACGGGGTCCGGACCT